TCTACAGGTGCCTTCATACACAGTGCAGAGAGGGTGATGAGGGAAAAAAAGCTGTGAAATTGGAACACTGGAAGAAGATGACATCTTGGAATTTAAAGCTGCATTCATGTTGCATGTGATGCAGTCTACTTGGAGTATCCTAGCTCCAGGTTATATAAGGAAGACTGAGCTGGGTTAACACGTTGACTGCCACACATAATTTCATATTCCCATGGCGTTCCCATCTGCCAAGCATTGCACGCATGCGCATATATTTAATAGGTACTTTCAGGTGTCTGTTTGAACTTGAGCATTTTAGGGATCTACGCGCTCAACGCAACCAGCAGCGTATTTGTTGTGTTCTCAGTGATGTCAGTGTATTCAATTTACATAACAACAGCCTTTCGTTTCCTACGAGTATACTCGTGGTGGCAGAATCCGGTACACCTGTGACGAGTATACTTGTAGTGGCAGTCAACATGTTAGCTTGGTAGAAGACGACAGAAGAGTCATCCAGAACCGATGATTATTAAAGTCTGTTTGGAGAAGCGACTCAGCAGTTTCTACAAGTTGAACAGTCTAAGCTGTCCTACTTCATTAAATGACTTTTTCGGAAGGGGAAGGAACATGAAGGCAGTGATTGTAGGAAAAGATGCGGTGACTTGGATTTTTTTTTTCTGGAAGTGTAGCTTTTGTAACAAACCACATCTTAATTACCTTGTCCTTCTCCTGATAGGATCAATTTGAAGGGTATAAAAAATAATCAGATAAATTGATATGTAAGTTATCTAAATGACATTAGACACTGCCAGAAAAAAACACAACTATCCCATGGAAATATGTGATTTCTGATACGTTGACACCTTTTTGATCTAAGTTTACGAAAAAAAATCTAAATGTTAACAAGACATCACATTCCAAACTCAGAAGACCCCTCAACCTGATTAGAAGGTGTCAGAAGACAGGTAGAAATACTGGATTGTGGCTGATTACACTGGATGCCTTACTTAACTGTGAGGTCAAAACAATAAAAACACCAGATGTTGAATCCTGTTAGCATCCCCTCAGCTAAAACCAGGAGCCCCAGTTCCCAAGAAGGGTCTGATACACAAATCACTTGATCCAGCTTGCTGGTCAGACTTACGTGATGCTGCGGCGAAGGACTGAAGGGAATCCTAGCCGGAGTCTGTGACGTCATGGAGGCACTAGGGTTTGGCCCACCAGGGGCAGCAGACTTCTTGCTACCGGCGGGCTGGACACCCTTAAGAAGTTGGAAAAAATAAACAAAAGTAAAATTCAAAACTAGCGACTGTAATTAATGTGAATTGTGGGCTTAAAGGGGCAGAGGAATATTTATGATACATGCACATAGACATTACAAATAATACCAATAGTTTGAACTTGAGTATTTTTAAAATACTGTGTGTCTTTGACTTGGCAAAAAAGGCTTCTCATGTACACTGCATTAAACAAAATCAGGGATCTACAAAATTTAGATTTAGGAATGGAAGAGGTTAAGAAAATATCAAATGAGACAAAATAAGGCTATTTCCATTTTAGGGACTCAAAACTATTTTGAATGTGTATTGTTAGATGGACAACAGACAAACCTGCACTCAAACTGTTTTGTTTTCAAGTCTTGACCATCGTGTAAATGGTTACATTTCACCCAACATCCTTGACAACACAAGATGGTCACTTAATCATACAATGCCATGCACTCCAAACTCAATACACATCCATTGCAAATGAAGGGCAGGGGTCTTTCTAATGAAATGGAGGTCTGTGGTGAACAAGAAGTTATAAATGAGTTAGTTCAATCCTGCTTATGGATTAGTAATGACAATTGTGTCCTGGATATGAATCGTGCCAATGCTTGACCATCAAAACACATATTAGTGGCTACGAAGATATCCCACACCTCTTTTCTATACTAATGTCATTTCAACTTTCCCCTTAACCACTTTAAACTGACGAGTCAATGCCACCTGCATCATTAACATGCACACAGTGTGATCATCTAAGTGTGCTAACACAAACACTTTCCACTTTGATTGATTTGCTTCCAAGAACTGACATTTGCATGACATAAAAAGCAACACATTGAAGCCTGAAGCCCAATATAAAAATGAAGCCAAGATATGAAATAACACCAAGACACCACCAATGAAATTTTTTACAACCACTTAACATTCAACATCGGCATAAATACCGCTGTACAACGATGAGCCATATCATTAACACTTTGCAATACTGAAGCAACATTCTAACATTCTATGCAGGCTAATACTATCAAAAGCTGGACTACATCCAAACAAGGCTCAAATCACTAGAATCTCAACAAAGATGGGAAGAAGGAAATATAAGGAATGTTGGAGAGTAAACTAATCAGGAGATGATCGGAACAAGAACAACTGAAATTACAAAACAAGACAGAAATTGTCACAGAATTAATGAAAAGGTAAACCAATAAATCCGGTGTCAGTTTTCTCTCCAGAAAAGGTTTCACCATGCAAGTGTAGGGGTAAGTATATTCTAGGTAAACAATAAAATGCTTTCTTTTTCAATTTTCTGGCCGAATGTCTAGATTGGGAAGGCTATGTGCAACATGCTCTTGAACGGAACTGGAACAGAACTCTACCAGGACTTGCATGCATCCAAACGGGTCATGCACACAGGAACAGGGTAAAATGTGTCAACTATCCAGGAGAATGTACGTTATCTGAATTACAGTCGTGTTGGGGGAGTAACCTGCCAACCTTGGGAACTTGAAGAAACAGCTTGAGCAACAGAGAGCCAAGATTGTCAGGAGTAAAATGAATGTTAACAAAGAGGAGAAATGATAGATACAATTTGTTAGTAGAAATTTTAATAACAAGTGAAATGTTGGCTACTGAGAAAAACAATCAAGCATATTACGAGCATAGTATTAAACAAGAAGTCAGGTCTGGAGGAGAGATTTGAAACGTCAAAAAAAAGCCAAGCATTTCATTTTTATAATCATAAGTCAAGAGAGGCTAAGCCTTGGAATGGGAAACTGTTTAAGTTCACTTTCCAAATGTTTACCTTTTTACAATTCCTTACTGGCAGATTGGAAACTCAGGGGAGTTTCAATGACTATACTGAGATAGATTTCAAACGAAGATTAAGCAAAGTGGAGGGCATGAGGAGGTGAATCAAAGGTGCTGTTGAGCACATTTTGAATATTCTTCCGTGTTTCTATAGCAGTTTCTTGAGTATGCCAATCTGAGTATACATTCCACCTTTTACAAACTTGAGCTTTATAACTTCAAATTCTTGCTCAAAACCTTCAAAAGCCTCCACACTTCAGGGAACCAATGACACATTTTGTGTCTTAGCTGTCAAGGTCCTTCGAGCCCAAAAATCAGATAAAATCATCCACAACCCTAGGGGCAGATATTGAAAGATTCAGGGAAGGAACATGTCCACTGTCACAGTGCTACTCTGGATATTCTGCATGTGTGACTGTAGCTGACATTCATGCATGTGGATCTATTCATGACATGGAATTTCTATAACTCTGAAATCAAGACGATGGTAACCTCTGACTGACTAACGTTAGAGATGTGTCCATTGTTAGTTAGGGTTCCTACAGATGTATGTGAGTTTTGTCAATCAAGTCTGTGATGTCCGAGGATGTTCCTGAAAGGATATTCTAATGTGATATACAAAATCAGAAAAACGACAGAAAAGATTGAAAAACCTGGGCCACGTCACTCCGTCGGCTGGAATAGGTGCTTAACAAATTAGACAATGGTGCAACATCAAGCTGTGGAGTGTATATTGAAGATTACAGGGATGTCAGAGGAGGGTTGGAAAAGGTCAGAGGGGAGGTCAAAGGGGAGGTCAAAGGACGGGGGGGTGGAAGAGGCAGGAATAGAAGGGGTGAAATATAGACCCATGTGGAAGAGAGAAATATTTGGGGTTCAGAGAAACCCGGGAAATGGATGAATAGGAAAATAGAAAGGGGAAAAGGATGACCAGGAAAAAATTCAAGCAACAAGAGAAAAATGTCAAGTGTGAGAATTTTTCATGCAAAAAGCTCCAGCGAAATGAGCGTAACAATAAAAATTAGCCAAAGCTGTGAAAATTGTGAATTCAAAGTGAATGGAAAGAATCAAGTCCTTAGCATGACTCCATGTTTTAGACTTCTAACTAATTCAAATCACTGACTGAAGAAATTAAATTTGCATTACTGACTTTACAATGTAACAGCATTGTAATTATAGGTGCTAGAGTAAATGATTTCTTGTCAAAAATCTACTGACTCGTGAAATTCACTGTGGCCGGTAGTAAAAGGGATAGTTCAACTTTTCACACATGGGCGCCATTTGTATTCTTGCGCAGGTCATCAAAGCAATCATAATTTCCTTTCCTAGTTTTACTGAGATTTTGTTCTCGTTTTATACTTCAAGGCTTTCATAACTGTCACTGCTCCAAATACAAAATCAGCGCTAATTTTGAGGAGCTATTCAGTTACAAAATATGTCATACTCCTGGTCAATGCAATGAACACACATCCTACTCTACATGATTGTACATCTATATCTTACATGTCCAGTCAAATCTCGTTAATAAGAGGTCCTTCGGCCACTTGGCAAATTACCTCGTTATAACTGGAACCTTGTATTATCAGGTATGAAGACAATGAAAAACAGGATTGGGACTATAAAGATTTCATTGCCGTAAGTAGAATCTTGTATTAACAGTGCTCTTATTAACGAGGTTCAACTGTACCTGACTACTATACTTGATACAATTTGAAAATAAAAACTGAATGAGATGATGATCGCCACAACAGAAGAAAATCTTGCAATTTTCCACAACAAGACCCCACACTTGACACCAAAATTTCAGTTTTAATCCTTAAAAATCAATTCAAAGTTTAAACTTAGATACAAACCACATGTAAGAGGACTACGGCACTGCCAGATTTCTGTTTACGTAAGCATAACATCTTTCCAAACAAAATACTGCAGACTCATGAATTTTCAAAGTGCCATCAATAACTCATATTTTATGTCACACTGGTGCTCATGATGAAACTGTTATCCTACGTGTAGTAAACTGCATACCACAGAAATTTGGACAGTGTGAAGACGTGGATACCCAGAAACAAAAAAAGACACCAAAAAACTCTAAGACTTTTACAAACCTGTATGTTTTTGAGATATTTGTCCAGTTTCTAAGCAGTGGAGGTTAGCATTTATGAGAGAAATGGAAGTTTTAGCCAAGTATCAGGAGAATAAAAAGTGGTTAATTGGAATTAACTATTAATACTTGCTAAGTAGTACGTACAAAGAAATATGAACAAATACACTGAGTCGTCTTCATCCAATCCCAAGAATAACAGGTTGAAAAAGTAGCCATAACCTTTTTATGATTCAACAATAAACTTTCAAAATCAAAGAAATTTCTCCCACAAGCAGAGAGGAACTTCAAATATTTCAATCAAAATCTTTTTCTGTAGGTTCTACCTTTCACAGAGGATTTCAAAGTATACTGTAATTCGACAACCAGAATTAGAAGCCATTACTGCGGTGGTGCAACACTCGTTGACAGGTGGTACGCGCATTCCACGCCTCTTTGACCAATAGGGTGTTGTGATTTGCCAAAAGTACGCGCGCGTCAAGCTGAAGAATGTGCGCCTGAGTGCAGCGCCACCACAGTTAGGGCATTTAATCGGATTAGTCTATAAAAAGTGGCAGCCATTAATCTCTGAAGCACAAAAAAGCGGATGCCTTGTAATCAAAGGTTTGAGGGTTCAGATCCAGACTGATGCATTTTAGTTTAGACATACAAAAGAATGGATCACCTTACCTTGAGGTCTGACACTCGGTGGTTGCACAAGTAGGTAGCAGGCTTGTGGAAGATGTACAAAGTCCTGACAAAGAGGCACATTTTTATTTGAACTCGTAAATTTTCAATATGTGAGAAGAAAATAGTTTTACTGTAGAACAA